GGTTGGCCATACACACACACACACACACACACACACACACACACACACACACACCTCGCATGATTTTCAAGCTACCAGATTCAGGACTCGAACCATGGTTGGCCATGTGGGAGTCCAGTGTCCTAACCACCACATCACCTATTGGCCCTCTAAGACAGTCTTTAAGTAAAATTACCAGTGTTATAAAATTATTTCTGGATACACATTAAAAATCAAAGGGTCGAGCTTTCTCCTCCAGCACATTAAAGATCATTTTATGAGAAATGATGAGTAGACTTTATCAATTTAGTATGATAAAACTAAATCAAATTCTACTTTCCAGGGATTACAACATGGATTTTTTGACTTTGAGACATTCGATGTGGATGAATATGAACATTATGAGGTTTGTACTTTTAAATGTTTTGCAAAACATAATTTTGACTGGCTTTTCCTTTCTCTAACACTCAAGTGTTGCAGATTGAGTGGCTGCCAGAAAAGCATTCTGGAGTTGTCAATAGTTGTCAGTTTCATCCTTTCAATTTTGGTTATTCCCTTTGAACCGTGAGTCACCAGAATTTTAACTTGGGAAAATGCCATGTCTATATCTCTTATCAAGCCTTTGGCACCTTGAGCTTCTAAGAAAAAAATAGTTTTAAAGAATGATTTGGTAATCAAATTATAAGTTATTTTTTTATTTTAAAATTCAGGTTTTATTCAAAACAAATCTGGATTTGTGCCATTTAAGATTTTTGATTGTGTAAACTTAATTGGAAATAGAACTGAATTTCAGAATATGGCACCATTACAAAGCTTTTGAAAAATGTCTTGCTTGTCCAGCAATGCAGAATTTAAGCAAAGGCAATCTAGGCTAGGTTGTTCTCCAAGGAGACATTGAAGAAGAGCACTGTCTGATAAGGAGGAGTTCAGAAGTAGTTAACTATTCTTGAAGGATGAGTAGGCTCAACATTCCCTGGCAGTGAGCTCATCTGTTGGGTCTCCAGAGGAATAATAAAATTCATCACTATCCTTAATAAGCCAGAGCTGCCCTCACACTTTGGACTCTCATCCAGGATATGTCTATTAAGATATCCTGCTTACATCTTAAATTTAATGAATCTGAAAGAAGCTGATCATCTTTTTCCTAAATACAGCCTTCTACTTTGTTCATTTGTGCTAATGACATCATAATCCCATTGTTTACCCAGATCCAAGACTAGAAAAATCTTTTTTTCTTCCTAGCCTAGTGAGTTCTTTTTTTGTTGTTGTTTTTAAATTATATTTTATTTTATTTTTTTTTTGGAGAGGTTTTTGCTATAGGGCGTGTGTGCTCGCCAGACAGACAGAGAGAGACAGAGAGACAGAAAACGAGAAATCACCTACCAGGGATGGCCACGCTGCAGTCCCTTCTCCTCCATTCTCCTCTTCGGATCTTGGGCATGCATGCACACGTGCCCCGCGTGAGTTTAAGCCACTGGGTCCAGGACTCAAACCACAGTTGACTACATGGGAGTCCAACGACATAGCCATTATGCCAAGTGCTGGCCCCCCAGTCTGGTGAGTTTTTAAATTCCCATGGCTGGTGCCATAGGATGTAGCATATCTCTCCTCTCCTCCCTATTCCGTGTCCGTTCCCCTGGTCTCAGTGGTTCTGTGCACCACAGTAACGATGCTCAGAGCGCTGGGCCTTCTCCATTAGGCTCTCTGACACACCGGGCTATGTGATCTGCAGGCAGCACTCCCATCTTGTTCATGACCCTGTACCAACTGTTGCTCCTATTGGCCTGCTGCAGTGGGGACGAATCCTCTGTCCTGGCATTCTCAACGGCAGTGAGCTCCAGCCTGCCTTTCCAGCCTCCTCTCCTGTGCCTCACTGTAGGCACGCTGTTCCAGCCTCGGAGTGGCTCAGTTTCTTGAATGTCTGTCTCCATGCCCTGGCTGAGATACTTTCTCCCACACCCCACCTCCTGTAACTTTTCTCCTCCTCTGTTTTGCATGTGTTAAATCTTCCACAGATCAGATCTCACCTCTCAGGTAGTCCCTCTACCTCAATCTCATCTGTTATCATTTATACTTTCCATTTTTCTTGGTTATTTGCGTACAAACCTTATTTCCTTGAGTAGGTTGCAAATTTCCTGTGGAGAGTATGTGGCCAAATGGAAAAATATACTGTGTTCTTGGATAGAAAGGCTTAGCATCATAGAATTACTAATTTTCCACAAAATTAATAGTGTAATTTATAAATCCCTAGTGGTTTTTTTTTCTTTTTTTAAAAATAGCAGTTTTAAAAAAGAATTATTTATTTAATTGTATTTATCATTATTGTTATTTTTAAAAATTTGCTACAGGGCATGTATGCTCACCAGAGAGAGAGAGAGAGAGAGAGACAGAAAGAGAGAGAGAGAGAAAATGAGAAAGCATGCTGCCAGGTCCAGGATTTGCACCGCCATGTGGGAGTCCGGCATCTTCACCACCACGCCACCTGCTGGCCCAAAGGGCATTCTTTTTTTTGAGCTGTAAAATCATTGTTTCTGTGGCATGTTTAATAGTAGCAAAAGACACTCTCTTCAAAACAAAAACAAAAACAAAAACAAAGAAAGCTACCAGAGAAATAGAAACAAAAGGAATCAAAAGGTATACACTTAGAAGGGGGATGGTTAGATAAATATACATCATGAAATGTTATATAGTCTTGAAAAGCTGAATTTAGGTATACCATTTGTCTTGGAATGCTTTCTATAAAGTACTACTGAAAAAAAATACAGACCAGTGCTTATATTTTAATTTCCCCTCATCTGATTTTTTAAAAAAAATTTTTAGATTTTTATCGTAGTGTGCATATGCTTGCCTGAAAGAGACAGAGGGAGACAGAGAAAGGGAATGTGAGAAATCACCCCCTGGGAGATGGCAGCACCACAATCCTTTCTCCTCCATTCACTTCTTGGGATTTTGGGAACATACACACATGTCCAGTGTGCTTTTCAAACTGCTAGGTCTGGGATTTGAACCATAGTGGGCCATGTGGGAGTATAGCACCTTAACCACCATGCCACCTACTGGCCCCAACTCCTGCTTTGTATAAAACAAACAATAAGAGGACATTCTCCATCCTATACATATATTATGGAGGGGGGTTTCAACAGAGTTCATGGAAAATGCATATTATGTAAGAACTATACATGGATTTCAAATTTGTTTTTGTGCCTAAATAAGCTGGTACTTCAATTTCCTTTTTTTGGAAGTGCCTTCGTATACATCTGTATTGTGTGCATTGAGGTGATTTACTTTGAAGTCAGTGAAGTTTAAGTTTTAGAAACCCTGCCCTCATCATTCATGGTGCCTTTTAAAGTCCTATCTATAAATATTCCAAATTTTGTGTGAATAATTTTGTATTATTAAAGTAGGTCACCAAATTAGATAAGTTTCAGGCCCCGTCAAAACCTGGCCTCTGCCCCATGATATGATATGAGCATGAAAAAACACATATGGCCAGACACGGAAGCCATTTCAATAACAGGAGAGATCCATAAGAGGGGATGAGGTGGAGAAGGACACATATTACAGTAAAGAGAAAAAAAATCTAGTTGATGTTTTACTTATTCTTTCATCTCTCTTTTTTCTTAACTTTAATGGTCATGTTGACGGTTAGTTGAAAAAGCTACTGAAAAACCTGAAGCAAACAGTGCAGTTTTATTTTTGCAAACCAACCAACCAATTAACTAATCAACCAAACAAAAAAATAAAAATCTGGTAAGAATGTGGTCAGACCTTCATCTGAATTAGTAACAACCACTACCCAGGTAGCTGGGGGAGCAGGGAGTTTTGGTGAACATGTGAGAAGTTTCCTGTCAGGCAACTTCCTTTTTGAGAATGATGTAGCATAAAGCCTATGAAATAGAAAACCACAAATAGAAGTGTGATTGGCAGTGGCCAGTATTTCTTTCTTTTTAAACTGTTTTAAATAGGTTTTTACCTTAGGGCATGTGTGCTCATTGGAGAGAGAGAGAGAGAGAGAGAGAGAGAGAGAATGAGAGGGAAAGTGAGAAGTCATTCCCCAGGAGAGGTGACCACACTGCAATCCCTTCTCCTTCACTCTCTTCCTGGGATCATGGGCATGCACACACCTGCGCCTGCCATGAGTTTTAAGCCACCAGGTCTGGGACTTGAACCGTAGTTGACCATGTGGGAGTCCAGTGTTTTAACTGCTATGCCATCTGGTGGTCCTGGTCAGTATTTCAAAAGTGTTTGCATAATGAATAATTGAATAAATAAAGGAACTCTTCTTCTAACTATCAGTTGGTTCTATTGTTTCCTGTTATAACTCCTCTCACTCTTTGTCCCACTTCATTGAGTCTGGACATTTGGTGAACTTGTGCAATAGCTGAGTTTATACATTTCATTAGCTCCAACAAATCAGGGTTCCAATGAGGGTATTGTAGTTTTCAAAGTAAAACTTAATTGACAGCAGTGTGTGAGAATGCAAGCCCTAGAGGATTAGGGACACTTGGGATGAGATTTTTTTTTTCTTTTCTTTCCTTTTCTTTCCCTTTCTTTCTTTCTTTCTTTCTTTCTTTCTTTCTTTCTTTCTTTCTTTCTTTCTTTCTTTCTCTCTCTCTCTCTCTCTCTCTCTCTCTCTCTCTCTCTCTCTCTCTTTCTTTCTTTCTTTTTTTAGTGGTTTTTGCTATAGGGCGCGTGTGCTCACCAGACAGACAGAGAGAGGGACAGAGAGACAGAAAGCGAGAAATCACCCCCCAGGGGAGATGGTCACGCCGCAATCCTTCTCCTCCATTCTTCTCTCGGGATCTTGGGCATGCACACAAACGCGCCTGGCGTGAGTTTAAGACACCAGGTCCGAGACGCAAACCGCAGTTGACTACATGGGAGTCCAGCGACATAGCCATTACACTAACTGGTGGTCCCCTGGGATGAGATTTTTCAAAGGCTCTTCTTTCCTAAACTAGTAATACATTTAATATATAATACAGCTCAAGAACCAGTTGAAACCAATGAGACTGCATCTTTATTGAAATTAAAGGGGAATCTTATGATAAGAATGCTACTTAAAAATGCTACCGATCAGGTCAACAGAATATGAGAATTGCATACAAAATATTCTGCTCATTCTGTAAAAGTTTATATTCATCTTCCTTGTGCAAGTCAAGGATCTAAAGTAGTACTGTCCTAGTCCTATAGGAAGGCAATGATAGTCATATATTTACATTGTAAATAGTCTGTTACATTTAGAAAAGTTAAAAAATTTTTGAGAGGTTTTTGCTATAGGGCGTGTACATTTGCCAAAAAGACAGAGAGAGACAGAAAGCAAGAAATCACCCTCCCAGA